TTATTGGGAAAATGAGCCGAGGAATGACAGGAAGAATCTTGTCTCCACCATGTTCCAGCATGTCATGGATTCCTTGACGAGCAAAAAACTCATACGGAAATTTCGTTTCACAAAGCCCATCAAAGAACAAAGGCAGAATGCAATTGTAATCAAGCTTCTCAATCTCTACCTGAAAGTACAAAATAAACAAATAAATGTAATTTTTTTGATGCTAATAGAATTTGAGCAGGCCAACAGACAATTCAGGCATATTTAGTAAATAATAATTAATTTTTTTATCACTGCAGAATATCATTGAGTTTCAAATATGGTTTATGACCATATATTCAAATCCAGAAATATTAGACCCAAAGAAAACACTTAAAATTAGCACATATATATTTTCACTTTTTGATAAGTCATTACCAGATAGTGATATTCTTGTTTATATACCTTACTTTGCAAGTTACTCATAGGAATCAAACCAGTCATTTTGAGAACCATACTCTGGCTATTTCAGAAAAATCTGGTGTCTTCACTTGGACACTCAAAACAGTAAGAGAAAGAATCCTGTCAGCAACAAATATGAAGCACAGTCCAAGGATCAATATTTGTACAGCATTTCCAACTTTCTAGAATATTGACCTAATTTTATTTCTTATTAATTTCAGGAGCAGAATTATAAAGAAATTCCATGTTTCTCTACTGTCAAAAAAAAAGTAGAGTAATTAATTATTATTATTTTTAATAGGAATCTCCCTCCAATTCTAAAAAACAAAGCATGCTAATCTGAACAATTTATGGACTTGAGGGATTGTTGCACTCTAGTTTTCTTCCCTTTTCCTTCTTTTATCCATCAATACTCTACCACATACACTCAGGATAACCAGAGAGAATCAGAAGTTTGTTTATGGCCTGTCAAAGCTCTGAATACAGCTAAGAAGTGACTCAACAGCAAAGCACTTTCTCTGAACATAATAAGATCCTCAAAATCACTTGGAGAACAATCCATCTCTTTAAGCATCTATTTCCATCTCTGAAATACTGCTTAGCTGCTACCCTACTTTTCCAATGAGATTAGGTATTATCTAGGTAGATGCTTCACACCTAACCAGATTTGTCACACAGACCAAGCTGAAGCACCAAACATCCTAAAAAAATTTTGTTAGGTTAAGCAAATACTCATCTGTTTATTTTGCAACATAAATCACATTCTCACTTGAATTGTGGAAGTCTAAATTAAAGCAGCCAAGAATTGAAATCCCAAAAATGAAATACGCAGGAGAAGGAACAAATAAAACCTACATTTCCTATTTTCACAATGTCACATATGATTTGCTTCTCTGAAATTTTTTCTCATTTGCTTTTTGCTTCACAAGCAAAAAAGCCTTTATCAGATGCCTTTAGGGTCAGTATGACCCCAGGGAAATGGCCTTATTTGCTCCAGGGGAGGTTTAGATTAGATATTAGGAAAAATTTCTTCACAGAAAGGTGTACAAAGCATTGGAATAGACTTTCCATGGAAGTGGTGGAGTCACTGGAAGTGTTAAAAAAACTTGTGCCTATGGTACTCAAGGACATCATTTTATGCTGAACGTGCTAGTGGTACTAGACTGACGGTTGGACTTCACAATCTGAGAGGTCTTTTCCAAACTTAAAAGATTCTTTGAATTTATGAATATCCCAGGGTCAATTTGTGAGAAAGTTCAAAACTAACTATACCAAGCAACCATGTATGGGATCTTAACAAAACAAGAATCAGAAGCCATTTAAATTCCTAAATTGATGGGACATTCTGCATGCTACTGGCAATACCTGGGAGATGGTAAAAGAAGTCTGTCCCAAAAAAGTCACTGAGAACAGAAGACAGTAATATAACAAATACGAACTACTAGACGACAAGCCTTAATCAGAGGTCAAATTGTTTATTACAGCAAGAAAGATCTATCAGGTAAGAAGTGACCAAGTTGTCAAAAAATCATTGACAAAAAAAGCACAGCCAAGAAGAACTAGTTTAATCCTGTTCTCTGTCAACAGGACAATATACTTTAATATATTTCCTTTTAATGTTTAATTTGTAGTTTAAAATATCATTAGATTTTTGTTATTGAATGCTCTAGTTTCAGAAAATCAAAACCAAAACCTACAGCAGTTATTTGTGTCTGGGGAAAGCTTTAGATGTGAAAGAGAGAGAGACAGTTAGTAATGTGTGGGCTTTTTTTTAAGCTGGGGAGTGTTTCACAAGGCAAACTACCTCTACTACATAATGTATTTTTGGTTGGTTGTTTTTTTAGAATATATTCCTTATATGAGTCTTTGACAACTCTTTAAAATTAAAAACCTTTTTCATGGAAAAAGACCCTTGATGGATACACATCCACATTAGATTACTGAATCAGAATTTGCAATTATTTTGCTCCAAACACATATAGATGAATGTCTCCTTTCTTTTCTCCCACTCTTCACTAATCATCTAACTGTATCTATCAGTTATCTTTCTTCTCAAAGATGTGATATTTCTGATACTCTAAGCAATTTTATCAGCTGTTCTTTGCCCGTGAAATATGCTTTTTCTCTTTCAGATATATAGAAAGCTTCTGTGTTCAGAAACTTGTCAATATTTTTCAGTGATAATAACAGGTCAATAAAAGATATCACCTTTATCTATCAACTCTGTATTATAGTTACATGACACGCAGATAGGAATAATGAATCAACTATAAGATTAATATGATTTCAGGGTTTAAAAGCAACTCTGACTTTCATACATGGCACAAAAGCTTTATTATGAAAAAAGCCTCTAGAAAATATAGGTATGACAAGCTGTAGATCATAAGGCATTTGTGTGTACTCATCCCTTCTCAATTAGTTCCAAAGCCATAAGTGGTTGGCAACTCATATGGCTCTGAAAAAGATTCTGAATTCTAACTTATTTCTTGAAGTGTCAGCTGTCCAAGCATACAGACAATTTTTACTTAGCATTTCAAGAGCTATAATAACTCCCACAATATGGAAGCCAGAAATATTTTGCCTTGCATACTATGGTGTGAAACCTTTTCCTTCTGTGTTTACTATTTAGCTTTTAAAAGTGGCTATTATACAGCTGTTCAGAGAAAAAAGAGATTTTTCTGTTTACGCCCACAAAATTCTTTGGGTTTTTGAGGTTTTTTTAATATCCACCCACAAAAAATGCTGATTAAGGCTTAAATTCTTGGCAAAACTTGTCCACATCTGACAATAATGCTGCAAATACGGATTTGACTAAGACATCTCACAATAATTATTATGGACTTCTGTATTAGTGGCTTGTACGTTGTGCAGACACAGTTTCTGAATTTTCAGTAAATAGGTCAACTAATAAAGTGTCCAGGCTCCCAATGCATGCTAAAAGTTCTCTAGGTAAAAAACAATATCCAGTTTAGAATTGTCACTTTATCAGTACATATAACTAATGCACAGGATGGGAGGAAACTGATGGCAGTATCACAGTTAATTTGTCCAGGAGGAAATCTGTTCCTATGAAGCAGCTAAGAGTGAGAGGCAAGTCTGGTGAGACAATAAATAAGCAGATAAAGATTCTAGGTTGTCAACAGTAAAACAAACTTTGTGGCTAATCTGCCTGCTAGATGAAGCAAGCAAACTATTTGACAGAACTTATGGTATAGAAGAAGCTTGACAATAATGTTATCATTGGTCTTCCTTAAAGAATCTTATTTTAAACTATAGGGCAACCCTGAGTTTTTAGAAGGTAGTGTTTAAACTACACAAACAATTTAATTTTCCATCTCATTTCACACAACTGATTACATAATACTGTGTCTTTGATATGATTATTCAAAAATTGGATTTGATCTCCTAGAAGCATTATATCTAACTGTGTATGTACTCATTTGATGTCTTTCTCTAAGGCATTAAAATTAGATATAGTAAAAGAAACTCTGGAATTGTTGGATTGATAAGGACAAACAGAAGTTTTTGTAAGGGCTGTAGAGATTTTGTAAGGGTTCTTTGGTAAAATAATAGTTCCTTTTAAGATTTATTTGCATCTTTATTTTTTAGGTTAATGGAAAGAGAAAAGCAGAAATATTTTTGGGCAGACTCAGTTTTGAACCTCCTTTCCAATTTTTCTTCCAAAATTTCTTTCAACGTTCTTTCAATTTATTTTTTTTAAAAATTCCATTATTATCAACTCATAGTAAAGCCTGTGCATTTCACAGTTTTTGGTTTCTTCTTTTTAGCATATTTGTCTCTTGATTCATAATGGGATGTTAGTTTTCATCTTCACTATGGCTCACTACTTTTCAATATGGTAACTTTGGTTATGGTTTAAAACACAATTTTAGTCCCTGCAAGTTTTCTAGCAAGAAATTATTCTCGTTTCAGTCTGCTGTATCTCACCTTTCAACAGGGTCATACTACAAAGATTCTCTATTGAAAGATGTTTAGTCTAAATTATTATTCGTGTCTTATCAAAAAAAAAGATGGAAGTTGTGCCTATGTTTTGAATTCTGCAATTAAATGCTAAAATGCTTATGCTAAAGCAAGTGGAAGATTATCAGTCTTGAAGAGAAACAGATAATGGCAAGGGAGAAACAAAACACCTCTAACAGAGATATTTTAATTCAGTCACACTGTATTTAGAGCCTTTTTAACATATTCTTTAGATATTTAACTTCCCACAAGAAGTTAAATAACGGAAGAAAATATTTGCCTTCTTTGGATAAATTAAGAGAAGCAATAATAAGAAATGTGTTTGGAGTGTTACTGTACTGGCTATCTGAATTCAGCCTGGAAATAGTTCCTCATGTAAAAATTTAAAAACACAATGTAAAAATAGAAATGCTACATAGATATTAATTTTGAATTTACTGCATTCCCTACTACCTCCATGTTAGTTACAAGAGTAATGTCATCAATAAAAATAGTTGTGCATGTAAATGAAGTTGGGACATGGTAACACTTAGGTCTGAAAACCCTGAAGAGGAGTATGATATGAAAATGTTGTACTCCTTAAAGCAATGAAGTTCTAAACCCTTTTCTCTTTCTCATTTTATGAGCACAGAATCAATAATGATTTTCTAGCCATTATTCCTATCTCCACAATGAGACTCCTTCTACACCTAGGCCCAAAATGATGCAATACAACTCTTTATCCCTGCAGACTAATTGTCGTGATTGCCTTTCTCCCTT